CCCCCACGGAGCAGTGTCTGGGCGGCGTGACCCACATGGCTTCCTTAGTTCCCTGAGTCATCCCACTAAGAGAAAACAATTGACATTTATTTATTATTATTATTATTTAAAAAATGTTTTTATTGATTTCAAAGAGGGAAATAGAAACATCAATGATGAGAGAGAATCACTGATCAGCTGCCTCCACTGGGGATCGAGCATGCAGCCTGGGCATGTGGCCTGCCCGGGAATTGAACCCATGACCTCCTGGTTCATAGGTTGACACTCAACCACTGAGCCCCAGCGTTCGGGTGACAGTATGAGCTCATCCGATGTTGCATCATGCGCTGTCATGGTCACCATCCCCACTGCGCACGGAGGAGCAGAGGCACGGAGAGGTGAGGACATGGGCCTGGAGTCACACCCGGCCGGGAGGTGGTGAAGACGGGGTTTGGTTCCCAGGTCTGGGCTCTCCCGGGCTGCACCCTCACACAGTTTATTGGTGTTTGCAGGTGAGGAACATGAGGCAGGAAGAGGTGAAGTTGGCCCTAGCCAGTTTGGCTTGGTGGATAGAGTGTCGGCCGGCAGACCTAAGGGTCCCGGGTTCGATTCCGGATAAGGCCAGCCCCTGGCCAGGGCTTATGCAGGAGGCAACCAATCAATGTGATTCTGTCACATCGATGTTTCTCTCTGGCTCTTCCTCTCCGTTCCACTCTCCCTAAAATTCAACGGAAAAATATCCTCAGGTGAGAATTAGCAAACAAACAAAAAAAGAGAGGTGAGCCCTAGCTGTTTTGGCTCGGTGGATAGACCATCAGCCTGCGGACTGAAGGGTCCCAGGTTCGATTCCCGGCAAGGGCACATGCCTGGGTTGTGGGCTCAATCCCCTCCTGGCAGCTGATCACTGATTCTCTCTCATCGTTGATGTTTCTTTCTCTCTCCCTCTCCCTTCCTCTCTAAAATCAATAAAAATATATTAAAAAAACAAAAACAAAAACAGAGGTGAGGTGGTGCATGCATGAATGGCAGCAACAGGATTCAGGACCAGTGCAGGGACCTCCGAGTGCTCGACCCTTCTGCCACCCTGGGCTCTTTCTACCCCTCCAGGCTCCTCATATCTATCACCTGAAACCACAGGGCCAGACACACAGAGGCACTCAGCATGCCCTTAAAAATGCAGGCGCCCGAAACCAGGGAAATACGATGACAACACTAGATACGGCTGAGGGCTTTCTCCTAAACACCAGCTCCGCAGATGTTTGTGGAAGGGAGGAATGGGCCTGGTGATCGGCTCCTGAACTCTCGGGAGTTTCGACTCTGGAGGCGGGACAGGGACCTGGGGGCAACACAGCAAGCCATGACCTGGTCACGGGAAGGAGACCTTGCTGGGCACCAATCATGATCCTCAGGTGGTGAGGGGTGTCTCTGGCCACAGTGCCACCCACCCTTCCGTTCAAATTCCTCTGAGGGAACCGTGTTTTCCGGGCATCGCAACGGGCTCTACTTTTGTGGATTCCAAATGTTTGGTTTCTTTAAATAGCTTTGTTGAGATTTAATTTACATACCGTACAATTTCCCAGCCTTAGAACATTTTCACCACCTCAAAAAGGTCTGTAACCTGTCGCCTCCGCAGCCCCCTCCCAGGCTTAACCACTTGCTTTATGCATTTGCCTATTCCTGATATTCCGTGTGAAGGGAATCCTACATCAGTGGTTGGCAAACTGCGGCTCGCGAGCCACATGCGGCTGTTTGGCCCCTTGAGTGTGGCTCTTCCACAAAATACCATGGCCTGGGCGGGTCTTTGTTGAAGAAGTGGCGTGGGAAGAAGTTTATGTTTAAAAAGTGTGGCTCTCCAAAGAAATTTCAGTCGTACTGTGGACATTTGGCTCTGTTGACTCATGAGTTTGCTGACCACTATCCTTCACGATGCAGTCTTTCCTGCCCAGCTCCTTTCACTTAGCGTGATGTGTTTAAGGTTCTTCACGGCGTCTCACGGCATCTGTACCTTTCCTTTCTGTGTCTGAATCATGTTCCCTTGTATGACTGTAAGGCCACATTTTATTTGCTCATTCTTTGCCAGGTGGTGGATTTTATTTATTTTTTATGGGGGGGGGGTGGGTCATTATGCATAATGCCACTCTGAGAGTTTACGAACAAGATTTTGAGTGGATGCGTGTTTTCATTTCCCTGGAGTATCGATGCCCAAGTGGAATTGCTGAGTCACATGGTAACTGAATGTGTTGCTTTCTGAGGACCTTCCAGGCGGTTTCCCAAGGCGTCTGCCCTGTTTTTCATTCCCACTAGGAACTGCCTGTTCTTGCTCATAACTCACACTCCTTTTTGTTTTTTTTAAGTGCGTTTTATTGATTTTTAGAGGGAGAGGAAGGGGGAGGGATAGAGAGGGAAACATGTACGAGAGAGAGGAACGTCACTGAGCAGCTGCCACCTGCACAGCCCCTACCAGAAATCGAGCAGGCAGCCCCGGACCTATGCCATGACCGGAAATGGAACCATCGGTTCCTGGGTCGACACCCAACCACTGAGTCACACCAGCCAGGCCGTACTCCTCTTTAAACACAGTGTGATTCCACGTGTAAGTGTCTAGAGAATGCCAAATTAACCCCCGGGGCGAGGTGGCCTCTGGAAGGAGGACAGAGACGATGAGCAGAAGGGCAGTGTCTGGGTGAGGGGAATGCATTCTGTGTCTTGGTGGTTTCGTGATTTGAGTCTGTGCATCTGTCAGAACTCATCGAACTGTTCTCTTAAGAAATGGATGTTTCATTATGTGTTGATTATGTCTACATGGAAAAAAAAATAGAAAAAACATAGATGGAGGGGGAAGAGGAAAAACTATGCATTATCTTAGGACATGACTTCCTACCCACCTTCTTCCCCTGGACAGAGGGCCTGTGCCAGGCAGGCAAGGCCAAGGGTAAATGTCTTCTCATTGATGTGATGACCTGCGTCTCCACAGGGAGCCTTGTTCACACTAAGGGGGAGGCAAAGAGGTTGTTTTTCACTCTCCCAACCAGTGGATGTCTGGGGGTGGGGGTGGGGGGTGGGCCCTTGGAGAGCCAGTTGCTGCAGTGGGGGGGAGGGGCGTGGAAGGTCTGATTCCAGGCCTTTCTGCAGAGAAGAGCTGCAATTCCCTTTGGCATTAAGATACATTTAAAGAAAATAATTTTCTCAGTTGCTACAAAAGGTACTCTCCAAAGCCAGCCTCATTTTTTTTTTTTTTTTTTTTTGCCAGACTGCCTCATCCACCAGAACCCAGCATTTAGACAGGACACTCTGCCTCTGCCTCAGTGTATCAGGGGCTGCTGAGCAGGGGACAACAGGACACAAACAAAAAAAGAAGTGTAGGGTGTGGTCTCTCCCCCTCAGACTCTGCAAACCAGTTTCATGGTTGGACATAAATCCACCGGAGATTAGGACCGGGCGAGCGTCACTCACTGCCCACGGACACACGTCAGAATTATAACATTTTTGATGCATTGCACACGTTGCATCATCTTACTTGGAGGCAAGGAAAGAGCCTGTATTTCGCTAGGAAAAAATAAAAAATACATGCGACGCAAGACAGTTATTTGGGGCAAGATGGGATTCCGTGTGTGTTTCTGTTTTCCTTGTTGCTCACCCATGATTTCTGATTTCCAGTGACCATTTATTGCCTGTGAATTAAATCAGTTGCTAACAAAGTGTTTTGCTGCCCAGGATGGTGTGGGCCAGTTGGGTGGGCATTGTACCGTGCACCAAAAAGCTGCCAGTTCGATTCCCGGTCAAGGGCACATGCCCAAGGTTTGGGCTCTATCCCCTGTAGCTGATAGTAGTCTGTCTGTCTGTCTGTCTCTCTCTGAAAATCAATAAAAATATATTTTTAAAAATTACTTTGGGCCAAAACCGGTTTGGCTCAGTGAATAGAGCGTCGGCCTACAGACTGAAAGGTCCCAGGTTCGATTCCTTTCAAGGACATATACCTTGGTTGCAGGCACATCCCTGTTAGAGGGTGTGCAGGAGGCAGCTGGTCAATGTTTCTCTCTCATCAATGTTTCTAGCTCTCTATCCCTCTCCTTTCCTCTCTGTAAAAAAATCAATAAAATAAATTTTTAAAAAATTACTTTTGGTTCTCTCACTGGTTGGAGCTAGCATAGGGTCCCCTCTTCCCCAGAACAGACCCCCTTCCCCTCTGCCCCCCCCCCGCCCCCTCACAGCTTATGGATGTAAGGCGGCTTCGCATAATGCATTGACCCTGAACTTGGGTGTTAGCGAGGTCAGGGTTGGGTTCTAGCCTCTGAAGGAAGCCACGGATCCTTTTTGCATCTTGGTTTCCTCATCAGAAGGCTGGATCTGGTCATACCCTCCGGGATGGATTGGTGTGACACCTACACTGGGACACAGCACAGACCTTGGCCCTTCCTATCCGTCCCTCCTTTCCCAGCCCGCTCTCAGCCCGGGACCTTCCCGGCGCCTGCTAGCACTCAGCATGTCGGCCTGCATGGCTCCTGGGAGCCAGGCTGCCTCCCTAACCATGGCGGGAGCTTGAAGGCACCTGCACGTCTCGCTTGGTGTGTGTGTGTGTGTGTGTGTGTGTGTGTACGTGCGCGCGCACACACACTCTCCAGCCCACGTGCAAGGCTTTGGTGTGTGTGGCTCGATGTTAAACAAAACCCCCTTCCCGTGGGTGAGTGAAGACCGCTTGCTTGCCGAAACCGGTTTGGCTCAGTGGATAGAGCGTCGGCCTGCAGACTGAAAGGTCCCAGGTTCGATTCCGGTCAAGGGCATGTACCTTGGCTGCGGGCACATCCCCAGTAGAGGGTGTGCAGGAAGCAGCTGGTTGATGGTTCTCTCTCATCGATGTTTCTAACTCTCCCTCTCTCTTCCTCTCTGTGAAAAATCAATAAAATATATATTTTAAAAAAAAGATTGCTTGCCGTCAGGGCCCGTGATCCATCACAGACCGAGGGTGGGATGCACTGCAGCCAGCACCTGGGTGACAGCGTCCTTTCTGTTCTCCCCTGCAGCGCGGCCGGGCCCTGGCAGCGGCGTGGCTTCAGACGGCATGCCCCTTCCCTTGGGACCGTCCTCTTCCTGCAAATCAGGACAGCTGAGTGCCACCCCCGGCTGACTGTGAGTATTGTGGGGTTTTTCTTGGTTTGTTTTCGAGGTGCGGGGGAGGGCCCAGCGGAGGGGCGGAGGGGTTTTGCTGTCTGTGTGCCCTGGTGGCTTGTGTGGGGCAGGAGGGATGGACGGGCAGAGGCGTACGACACGGGAGTCATGTGCTGTGGCGTCTGGTGTCACCTTCTCCCTCCAGCACTGCTTCCTGCAGCCCCGGTTTGGTTCTCAGCTGCTTTTTGGGGCGGTAGTTTTCAGGCTGCAGTTTGCAAATGATCACCTGGGAAGCTTGCTGCCAGCCCTGTTCCTGAGCTCCCCTCCCCCCTGCGGTTCTAATGCCTGGGCTCTGGGTGGGGCTGAGAAATAGCATTTTGGACAGACAGCTCTGATCGGTCCATCTGACCGGGAGGCACCAGAAGCAGGTGCGGGGGACCTGTTGGGGCCTCACAAACAAGTGTGAAAACAGATGCAGTGATTGGTTTCAAAATGAGAAAACAACTCCCCCCAAAATGGACATAGTGATACATAGTTATGTAACTTTAGAGCAACCTGTCAGCGGCAGCCCGGCTGTGGCAAACAGGAATTGTTTTTTAGGCGGCATCTGGGCAGGTTTAGCATCTTCGGTATGCTGTATGCTAGGTCTGCAAAAACCTGGACAAAGCCCTCACACTAGGGGTGTCGAACTCAATCAGAGAAGGGGACAAAATCTAAAATCCAGCCTAAATCGCGGGCCGAATGGTTTACTGAACAGTCATAAACTGTCATTGTGATGGAAACGCAGCGGAGTGCAGTGATGACAGCGCGGTGCGGGCCACATTGCAAGGCCTGGCGGGACGAATTTGCCCCGCGGGCCTTGTGTTTGACACATGTGCCTCACACCATCCACCCAGCTCTGAAAAATGAAACCCTCGGTTATTTATTTTAAAAACATCTTTTTATGGATTTTAGAGAGAGAGAGGAAGGGAGAGGGAGAGAGAAAGAGAGAGAGAGAAACAACGGTGCACAAGAGAAATATCGATTGGCTGCCTCTAAAAATCCATGGAAACATATCTGGAATGAGGGTTTAAAAGAAGGCGGCGGTGAGAGGGGCTGGCTGGGTGCAGGGCGTGCCGGGGGCCAGGGTTCAGTTGCCTCTCTCCTGCATACACAGTAGCATTGCCCCCCTCCCCCCTTTCCCCGCTGCCCCGACCTGGAATTCCTGACCTGGAATTCCTGACTCGGTTCTTTCTCCAGAGGGCCCTGCGGGCTGCCCCCAGACTGACCTCCCGTCAAGCCCTCTGACCGGCTGCACCGCTTCATGGCCTTCAGTCCTCTCTTCCCAGCACTCAAGGCCCTCAATGTTCTGGACCCAACACCTGCCCCCAGGCCTTTCAGATGTTTGCCTTCCGTTCTAGCAGCAAATGCCTCCTCACTGGCTGCCAAGCAGGCACCCCCACCCCCACCCCCCAATGCAGGCTTTTAAAAATATATATAAATATATTTTTATTGATTTCAGAGAGAGGAAGGGAGAGGGAGAGAGAGATAGAAACATCAATGACGAGAATCATTGATTGGCTGCCTCCTGCACGCCCCCTACTGGGGATGGAGCCCGCAACCCAGTCACATGCCCTGACTGGGAATCAAACCCTGACCTCCTGGGTCGTAGGTCGACACTAACCACTGAGCCAGGCTGGCCAGGCCCCGCTGCAGGCTTTTGGTCACCGCCCCCTCTCCTCTTGCCATCCACCCATCGGGCTCTCAGAGGACGTCCCTCTGCAGCCCACAGCGACCAGCTCCCCTGCACCCAGACCACACAGTGCCCACCCCCGAGCCGTCTTGGACCGACTTGTTTCGTTAACTGTCCCTTCATTCCTCCTTGGCTATCTGACATTCCTCAGGGGGCAATCTGGACTCTTTCCCCCGGGGTCTTCCCCAAGGAATGGCCCGGGTGTCGCAATGCCTCGCTGCAGCCTCGGGGACCACAGGCACCTGCGTCTGTGAGGAATCGGTGGGGCGGGTGGTCCAGGCTGGGGAGGGGAGGGGGGAACCAGAGCCGTCCCCTTGGACCTCTCCCTGCCTCCTCGTCCAGTCCATCCCCAGAATGTGGAGGGGCCTGGCCCAGATGCCATTGCCAGGGGCAGCAGGAATGGGTTTTTTGGGAGAACTGTTTATCAGGAGCCATCAAGGCGGCTCTTTGACCTGGTAACCCTCCTGGAGGAATGAGAAGGTGGGGTGGGGGGGGGGGAGGTTTGTGCAGGGAGGATGTTTGGAAGCTGGGTGCAGTCCCGATTTTTAACAATTTGTTAAAAAATCGGGACTTTTTAAAAACACCGAGGGACGCGGGACAAATTGTTAAAAATTGCAACTGTCCCGCCAAAAGCGGGACGTCTGGTCACCTTAATTTAGGGGCGCATCCGAAACAAAACGCCACCCAGGGGCGCCTGATGCTTCTGCGCCGAGGGCTCCCGTGGAGAGGAGGTGGCCGCCGTCAGAGGAGCAGGGACCGTCTGTGAGGCCGCAGTCCGGGTCGCACGCCGTGTTGTGTCCCGCCCGGGGTTCTGGAAAGCTCAGAAGGGAGATGTGCTCCTGGTTGGGAAAATGCAGGTGTGGGTGCCTCCTCGGGGGTCCCAGGAGCATGATGGTTGCTTTTTCTCTCCTGTCTTCATCTCTTACCTTTTTGGTAACCTGCCTGATCCAGTTATCAAAACGGCTTAGTGCAACAGAAGAAAAATGTATAGATGGGTTTGCAGGGACCTGTGTGTCCCAGAGAGGGGCAGCCTGACCTCCCCTCCCCTCCCTCAGCCTGTGCACAGATCCTGACAGGTGCTCCGGTTGAGGGGGGCGGGTGCTGCACCCCGATATGATGGCTCCGTGTGCCTCCTCCGCTGAGACGAGCTGCAGAGCCCCCAGCGCCTGGGACACGCACTGCTCCCTGACGGACCCGCCCTCTTTCCAAGTCTATGAACCAGTGCCACCTCCGAGCCTTTGGTCCTCCTCCTATCCCGTCTCCCTTAACGCCCATCATAATGGTCCCTAAGGGATCATTGCCATGTAATAAACCCCATTTTGCAGACGGGAAAGCTGAGTCCTTAGATGCCGTGCACACAGCCTCGAGTCCCAGACTCGGGCTCTCGGCACAGATCTCCACGGACGCTCACAGGACATGTGGGGGCCGCGCTTCCTATCTGCTTTCCACGGTGGGGAAACTGAGGCTTCATCGGGTCACTTCCCAGAGGACCCACAGCCAGAAAGAGTCAGGGGCATGTGTGTTCCCGGGTTTTCTGCCTCCACACCCGGGTGAGATTTCTCTTTCGAGCTGTGCTGTGAACGCCTCCTCCGTCTAAAGCACGTGGTCGTTGGTCTGTGTGGGATCCGCTCCTCCTCCTTTCTCTGACGGCCTGGTGCCCGTACCCTCTGCTCCTGTGGGCTCTGGCCGGTGGGCTTGCCGTGGGCCTGGTGTGTACGCTTCCTCCTGTGTGGCTCTGGTTGGGTGTCTGTTGTGAATTTGGGCAGATGGGATGTGGCTACAGATCTCCCTCTGGCTTCTCTCTCGGTTTTTCTTTTTACCCAGTACGGCCCTCCTTTGGTGCCTGCAGAAGACTGGTTCTGGGGTCCCCTGGGGGTCCCCCATTCACAGATGCTCAAGTCCCCTCTGTAAAGTGGTGCAGTGCTTGTGTGTAACCGACCCACATCCTGCCACGTCCTCTGAAGCATCTTTGCGGTGTTTATAATTCCTAATGCAATGCAAATACTGAGTCAATAGTTGTTACACTGCGCTGTTCAAGGAAACATGTGAAGAAAAGAGTGTACACGCTTAGTCCCACCGTGACTATCGTGGGTCTAACTACACAGTACGTCAGTGATAACACAACCTCCCCCCTCCCTCCCCCAAATACCGTCGATCCTTGGAAGGCTGAAGCTGCGGATTCGGTGCCTGTGGATACGGAGGGCGGACTCCTCCATCATTTTAGATCCTACCTGGCTGCTCTGGGTGCACTAGCTCGTCTGGGGCTGCCTCTCCCCTCCACTCCACTCCCCTCGCCGTAGGTCCTGCCATTGGCCAGCCTTGCCCCTGCCGAGGAGCCCGGCTGCGGCTGGGACAGGCGGCGCACAGCTGTATTCGCGTGGACTGTGGGAGTCAGAGACGCTCTGGCTGAGCGGGATGAATCATCGTGCTCCGTGGTGGATGCTTTCACACGTGCCGTCCGATGGTTTTCCAGAATGACTGTGCACCGGGCCACCGGTGCGCCCCGGGTTCCGGTTTCCCCGTCCTCCCCACACCTGGCGCTGTCCGAGGGGCAGGAAGGGTGCTCAGGCAGGTCAGGGCACTGGGTCAGCATCTCCGAGGCTCCTGCTCGCTGCACATCCATGTATCCTAACAACATCTGGAGCAGGAAGGGTATAGGGGAGGAGAGAGGGGGCGGGTGCCTTACTAATGCAGCTCTGTCTTCTCTCTTATTTAAAAACAGGGAGGAAGGGAGAGGGATAGAGAGTTAGAAACATCGATCAGCTGCCTCCTGCACACCCCCCACTGGGGATGGAGCCCACAACCAAGGTACATGCCCTTGACCGGAATCCAACCTGGGACCCTTCAGTCTGCAGGCCGACGCTCTATCCACTGAGCCAAACCGTTTTTAGCAGCTCTGTCTTCTCTTAAGGAAGACAGTTGCCCCAGAAACCGGGGGGAGGTAGACTTCCCTTTTTGTTTTCTTTTTGTTATTGTTGTTGTTGTTGTTACTCCTCACCCGAGGATATTTTCCATTGAATTTTAGGAAGAGTGGAAGAGAGAGGGAAAGACAGAGAGAAACACTGATGTGAGAAAAACACATCGATTGGTTGCCTCCTGCATGTGTCCCGACCAGGACTCGGGCCGGGGAGGAGCCTGCAGCCTGGGTGCATGCCCTTGACTAGAATGGAACCCGGGACCCTTTGGTCTGCAGGCCGACGCTCTATCCCCTGAGCCAAGCTGGCTCCGGCCACTTCCCTTGTGTCTTATGAGCCAGATGGACCCCAGCAGGACGCGGCCGGTCTGAGTA